ACAGAAGTAAACATTTCCTTAAAGACATACTGTCAATATTTCTTGCCCAAACTCCCCCATTTGAAAGACCAGAGGTGAGGTCCTCTGTAACTCTCACCCTTACTCAAGAGCTGTTGAAAAATAATTGACTAGGAAAACATGTTATAGTGTGTGCACGCATGTACCCACTCTTGGTTACTCTTTTGTCTGGAGAAGCAGAACAGCGACCTTTCACATGGCTTTCCCCTTAAAGCCCTGGATTTTGGGAAGCTCTACCAAGATGACCTTGCTGGAAAAGGAATGACAGACCTTGCAGCCTGGAGCGAGAGGAAAACTGACAGTGACTCCCTGCAAGGGTCAGCCCACCCCCAAGAAAACTCGCATCAGTATTTAGAAGGCTTAGGATACAAGGAAGCCGTCTAATCCAAAATGTGTCATATGGTTGAGAGCGCAAAATTTTCCAGCTTATAGATTAGGCTATAGTATATAAAATTAAGGTATTAGATGGGTGATGTATGGGAGAACAGTTTCCAGTCAAGTATAAAATAATTTACAGTTGAGAGTCAACCTGTGATTGAAACTTGCCCTCTAACTCTCACGCTATCTGGGGTAACTATAACTCTAAAGATCACAGAGCTTTGCATTTGGGAGCGAGTTGCTCACAGCATACACATTTGTATAAGTCACAGGCTCCCTGGCAGAGTCATGCACCAAGTGATGCCTGTTACTCTTTCATTCCCCTCTCCCTTGTTACCTGCCGAGCTCTGTGAAACAGAATAATTGCACCATACCTGCTCTTACTGACACTGGAGAAGAAGATGCCTTCTTCTGTCATATACTTTTTTTTTTCTTTTGCCTTGCTGGTCAGGTTCTTTCTCTGTCTCACTAGTCGTTGCATATAAGCAAACGCAAGCCAGATGGCTAAAACCATCAATCTGTGTTAAGATTTATGTTAGGAACAGAGAGGTGAAAGGCTCTAAATACCGCTGCTAATCCCCAAAGCCATTAAACCGCCTCCTCCTTGCTGCTCACGCTTCTACTTGCATTCTTCTTCATGTTAGCACGCAGAGAGTCAACGCTACACAAACACCTTTTATTTTTAACTGTGCATGCATTGAAGAGCTCTTACACGAGAGCCAGCTCCCCGCTGCAGGAGGCTGCTGTTTCATCTGCATTCAGGGCCTGCATCCCAGGCTGCCGGCGCTCCCCCAACAGCACTGCATGCTGCTAGCTCCTCCCTGCCTTCCTCTATCCTTTCCTCCGCTGCCTTGACTCACCCTCCAGGAAATGTTCCTTTTCTCAGCACTTTCTGCTGTTTCCTAATTTCCAGACGTTTCCTAATTTCCAGCCAACCCATGTGTCTCAGTCTGCTCCTCCTTGCAAGTGCAGCTCCATGCACTGAACATAAGCACGGGAGGGGCGGGGAGGGCACCGTGGGACCGAACCAAACCCCCCTCTGCAGCATGTATACACGTGCACTGGCAAACAGAGCAATGAGATGGGCAGAGCCGTACAGGAGGTTGAAGATGGTAAGCATACCGCTCATGCAGTATGATCAAAAAACTCAAAACAACAATAACAAAAAAACCCAAAACCAAAAAACCCCCAAACATAAAACCTTTTAGCACTGACAGCTGGAGCCATCCCGTTAAGCTTACTTGCTATACAAAAACAGTGGTCCAACTGAAAAAGTTCCTGCCCTCAAGCATTTGCCTAGCAGGTACTTCATGATTTGTCTGTACAGGTTCCACTACAATAACAGAGGATGTGCCACACAACAGTCTTGCAACACTGAGGAAAATGGATCCCATTCTAGGGCAGCCTCTGCTTGCTCAAATGAAAAGCTTCTCGTGTCCAGTCTTGGAGCGGGCAGAAGTGTGGGCCAGGGTATCCGCCTGATGCTAACGGTCTGAACCATGATAATATCACGTTTTCAGCAACTGAAAAGACCAAGTAGGTTCTCACTCTCTGTATTTCTCTCCATGACACTTGTCTTCTCAAAACTTTGTCCCAAAGCTTCACCCACCTGTGTGATCATCTTAACATCCTTAGGGAGCTTTCTAATCATGACTCTCACATATATTTTCAATCCTTAGTAATTTAAAAATCACTTTTTGATTGCTTATGACCCCTGCTGCTACCCAACAGGAGCTTCACAATAGTGTACAGGCTCTGTGTCCACCTCAGCCTAAAAGGCTTGGTATTTCTGTAGCATAGTAAACCACATGAGAACACGCTAGGGTTTGATGAAGCCTAAACATACACGAGGCTCACAATAACCTAGGAGTTCATGAGCATTTTGGGTTGTTCTGATCCCTCCAACTCAGTTCTCCACTAAGAGAATACAACAGACTGACCAATAGCACAGAAAAAGGGAGCGCTTCCTTTGAGGAAAAGCAGATTTGGAAATCTCTGCCAGATGAGATCAACTAAACCCAGGCCTGACTGTTTTTACATCTAC